AGATTAGGAGCCAAAGAAGCTGGCAACCTGGGCTCAGTCAAGGGTGGAGATGATAAAAGCCCATTACAAGGCTGCTCTCTTGAGTCAAAATCTCAGGAAAGGTACTCAGCAATACAGGACAGTTTTAGACAATAACCACTCTACTGCAGCCAAATGCCACAGACAAAACTCACACCTGCAATGGCCAGGTGGTAGTCTAGACTCTACCCTTGTGAGGCTACATATGTGGTCAGTGTCCCAAGTAGAACTGTGTCCAAGAAGACCAATAAGGATTCAGGACTTTCATCCTCACCAGTTGGTAAAATGCTTCTCCCCTCTGAGATGTTAGTGGAGACCACATGGGAAACAGAAACTCCCACCCTCCCCAGTAGTAGTGAGGAGAACCTCTCCCTCAACTTGGGTGACAAAGGAAATGGACTTCCTACATACTGCATCATTAATCAGGTGGTACCTCCGTTTCCTCTGATGGAGCAGTGACAGATAAGCCCAGCTGAAACAGAAGCCTTTGATAAGGGCCATAGTATGAAAATGTCCAGTTTCATTAGAAAATCATTTGTTGAAACTATGAACAAAGAAGTTACCAAATTGGATAAAAATAGATGCCGATGCTGAGATGACAGAGGAGTTAGAATTGTTTTATGAAGCTTTTTAAAGAAACCATGATAAAAGTGCTTCAATGAACAATAATTCAGTAAGAAAATCATGAGCATGCTCAAAACAGTGAAAAAATAGAAAAAGCTCAACAAAGAAATAAAAGATGTAAAGTGGAACCAAAAGGAAAGTTTTTAACCTGAAAAATATAATTCTCTTGCTTTCTTCTCTTGTTGCTGAGACAAAATATCTAACACCCAAAATTAAAGGAGGAAGGTTTATTGTAGCTCACAGTTTGTAGAGATTTCAGATCATAGTTGGCTGTCTCCAAGGTAGGGTGGCATGGCAGAGGGGCATGGCAGAGGAGAAAGAGTTTATAGTGGGCAGAAAGTAGCAAAGCAATGAAGCAGTGAAGAAGCAGCAAGCAACAAGGAGCAACAATAGCAGCCCTCTTTCTGTCCCTTATATCCAATCCAGGCTACCCACCCTTGGGGTGGGGGATTTTTAATCCTAGCATTGCACCATGAATCAGTCCCAGCATCACATCCTTAATCTCAGCATCACACACTCTAGATCCAGCCACCTCCAAAAAGCTCTACCTATGACTGCATGAGGCTTTGGGGGGCCATCTAGATACAAGCCATAACAATAATCAAAATAAAAGACTTAGTAAATGGATTGAACAGCAGAATAGCAAGAACAAACTAAAAATTACCCAATCTGAGCAATAGACCAAAAGGAGATAGGGAAAAAATGTAAACAGAGTCTCAGAGACCTGTGGGACTATAATAAAAGAACTAACATGGTAATAGTAAAGTTCCAGAAGGAGAAGAGGAGAGATTGGTGCCAAAAATAATTTGAAGAAATAATAGGGGATAACTTTTCAAAATTGGTGAGAGAGAAAAACCTACTAATTCAAGATGCAGAGGGAATTCCAAATAGAAAAACCTCAAAGAAATCCATCAAAAAATATCGTTCTTAAACTTATGAAAAGATAAAGAAAATATCTTGAAAGCAGCCAATGGAATAATGATATCTTATCTATAGGGAAAACAAGCAAAATGATTTGAATGACAGCAGACATCTCATGAGAACCTATAGAGAACATGGCATGCTGTTTTTCAAGTGCTGAAAGAATGGTCAACACAGATTCCTATGCCTGGTGAAATACCCTCCAGGAGTATAGAGGATATCAAGATGTTCTCAGATGAAGAAAAACTAAAATAATTTACTACCAGAGAGCTATCCTGTGGGAATGGCTAGAGAAGTTCTTTAAATAGAGAAAAGAAACACAAGAAAGAACCTTGGAACAGTAGGAAGGAAAAAAAATGACACGGTAAGTTTTGCAGTGTAGATCTAAAACATGCCCCCAAGTTGCATGCGGTTGGAAGATGACTGGGTCGGGAGGGTGCATTCTAACCAGTGGATTCATTTATTGATGAGTTTATAGCTGAATGAACTGTTAGGAGGAGGGGGGTGGTTGGAGCTGGGTCACTGGGGGCCTGACTTTGAAGGATGGATGTATTTCAGTTCCTGACTCTTTCCTTCTCTCTCTGCTTCCTAGCTGCCATGAGGTAAGCAGCTCTCTTCTGCCAAGCCCTTCTGCCTTACATTTCTACCTTGGAGGCAGGCAACTTGGACTGAACACACTCAAAGCTGTAAGCCAAGTAACCCTCCTCTCCTTTAAGGTGTGAGTGTTGAGCATTTTGTCCCAGGGATGAGAAGTGACTAAAATAATTCATTAGCAGGAGAGCTATCCTCAGAGAATGGCTAGAGGAAGTTTTTCAAACAGAGAGAAGAAATAAAAGAAAGACACTTAGAATATTAGGAAGGAAAAACTAATGTGGCAAGTAAACATATTAGTAAATTCAGGATTTCCTTTACCCTTGAATATTATAAATTATACTTGACAGTTAAAGCAAAAATTATAACTCTGTGATGCAGTTCTAAATGTTTTTAAATGGTCTTAAAAATACCATAGGTAAGTAACAGTGGAATTTTAATAATGAGGAGATATTTGACACAATTACATTATAACAGGGAGAGTGAAGGGGCATAAAAAGTAGTAGGTTCATATACTTCCTCAACTACTAAAACAGTGATACGAGTATTGTGATAAATTATTCATAAATAATATAGGCTAAGTGTGGTGGTGCATGCCTATAATCCCAGCACTCAGGAGGCTGACACAGGAGGATCACTGCAAATTTGTGGGCAAAAATAATTTAATGCCTAGAGAAACCCCTAAATGAGCTATACAAAGAGATTCTTTTATTTATTTATTTTGCAAAATTTAATTTTTAGATATACAATAGACTCCAAGACAACACTTCATTCTAGCTGTAGGAGGCAAAAGATGTTATGGCAGGGAGTCCAGATGTTTAAATAGGAATGGAATCCAGGTTACTGCCATCACAGGCACAAGAACAGTTTACTTTCTATCCGGTTTCTTAATTCCACTTGTGGCCAGGAAACCTTCCCCATAGCTTGTGTTTTTAGCTCCCTGAGTTTTTTCTGCTTCTCTTTGTTATTTCTTCCTCATCTGTCCTTTGGTTCTTAGGCTGTTTCAAGGACTTCTTTTGGCTACTTTCTGTGCCAGACATGGTGCCTGACCACCCTTCACTAAACCCTGTCTGCTCCTAAGCCAGAAGCAGCTATTAAAAAAAAAGAATGGCACTAGGGTTTGAAGCTAGGCCCTCATGCATGTTATGCAAGAATTCTGCTATTGAGCTATATCTGCAGTACTTTTTATTTCAATTTTGAGGCAGAGTTTTGCTAAGTTTTGCAGGCTTGCCTCAAGCTTATGATCTTTCTGCTTCGGCTTCCTGAGTAGCTGGGATTATTGGGTATGCACTACCATGCTCAGATCAAAGAGATATTCTTAAAAATATCATTGGTGAGTGAAGGTGGAATTCTAAGAATGTTCAAGTAACCCACAGAAATTAAATTTTGCAAAATAAATAAATAGAAGAATCTCTTTGTATAGCTCATTTAGGGGTTTCTCTAGGCATTAAATTATTTTTGGCCACAAATTTACAGTGATCCTCCTGTGTCAGCCTCCTGAGTGCTGGGATTATAGGCATGCACCACCACACCTAGCCTATATTGTATATGAATAATTTATCACAATACTCATATCACTGTTTTAGTAGTTGAGAAAAAAAGAAAACAGAGAAATGAAAAACATAAGCAAAGAACAAATCATCAGGCTTAACCTCCCTGATATATCAATAATCATGGTGGCTAAGCTTGATTGTGTCAACTTGATTGGCTTGGGAACCACCCAGGGGATTGGTAAAGCCCACTTCTGGATGTATCTGGTTGGGTCATGGAGGTATGACCTTGGGTGCTATATATGGTCCCTGGCACTCTCTACTCTAGCACTGTTTCCCTGCTCTGCTTCTCAACCACCATGAATTAAGTGACTTTGCTATGCCATACTCATCCATGATGTTTCTGCCTTGGAACCAGCGAGCCATGGACTGAACCCCCTGAAACTATAAGCCAAATTAAACCCCTCCTGCTGTAGGTTGTGGTGTTGGATGCTGTGTCCCTGCAGTGGGAAAGCTAATACAATACACATAATTACATTACATGTAATTGTCGAAATTACCACACACCTAGCCTAAATTATATATGAATAATTTATCATAATACTGGTGTCACTGTTTCAGTAGTTGAGTGAAGTATATGAACCTACTACTTTTTATGCCCCTTCACTCCCCCTGTTATAATGTAACTGTGTTAAATATCTCCTCATTATTAGAATTCCACTTTTACTCACCTATGGTACAAAAAAAGGAAGATTAACACAGTAGAGTTAGAGGAAACACGAGCCAACTATGTGCAGTGCATAAGAAACACACAGCTGGCGCAGGGAGGGCTGCTGGGTTCAGAAGCTTCCAGCAGTGGCACAGGATGATGGTTCTCGCCTCCCTTCCAGGTGTTCCTTTTGCAGCAAGGACCTGCTCTGCAGGACCGGCAAACTCCTACCCACCCTTCCGGCCCCAGTCCGAAGCCACCTCCTCCAGGAAGCCGGCGGCAGTCAGCTGCACCTGCCCCGCTGTTCTGGCCTTGACTTGACTAGCGGGGAGTGGAGCTCCTGCGGGCAGGGCTGGGTCTCCTCAAGGGGCTCCCAAGGAGCTGGCTTCCCAAACACACTAGTGGCCTCGGCCTGTGTCGCTCCTTCCAGGTCTAGGGATGCCCCCCTCCTGGACTTTTCCTGCGTGAGCTCTGCTTCCCTTTCCTCCTCACGCACCTCCTGCCTCTCTCATCCTCCTTTCCACCTTCCTCGGGTCCTCTCTCTCTGCGCCTCCCTAGCCCGCCCCGGCCGGGAGCCTGCGCTTCCCCCCGCGGCCGGAAGAGGGGGCTGTGGGAGCGCCGGCCGCGCCCCTTCGCGCGCTTCCTGTGAGGTCAGGTAGGAGGAGCGGCCGCAGCGGCCGAGGGACGCCGCCGAGCCGAGCCGCGCAGGTGGGTGTCCTCCCGGGAGCGCGGGGACGGAGCACCCCTCCTCGCACCGCGCGGTGGGCCCCGAGCCCCGCACCAGGCCTGGGGCGGTGCCCTCCGCCGTGCCCACGCGCCGTGCCGGGTGCAGCGAGGCCCGCGCGCCTTTGGGCCACCCAGCGGGCGCATGACAAGGCACAAAGACACCGCGGAGGACCCGGCCGCCTGGCTGCAAAGCGGCTACCCTCGCCCTGGCGAGGGAACAGGGACTCCCGATCCCTCTTGGGGCGGCTGACTCGGGTGCTTTGGAGAATTAGGGTGAACACTGCGCTCACTCCTGGGGAAATGGCCTTTACGCAGACTCGGGGAGGGGCGCGGACGGCCGCCACCCAGGGAACCCGTGGGGGACCCAGAGCCGCCGCAGCATCCTCCTCCCGTGTTTCGGAAAGACCAGCCCCTCCTCCTTTAGCAGAGCTTGGACTGGTGTCACCTGGGAGGCGAGGGACCGCGGGGGCCTGCCCTCTGCGGCAGAGTCCGCGCAGCTGCTGAGTGGGCTCGCGCGGTCCCCGCCAGGCAGCGGACAGAGTGACCCTGAGCAGCCCGGATCTCACAAGGATCTGGAGGGAGGAGGCCCAGATGCTGGGCGTTTGCTTCCTGGGGGAGCAGCCTCCGGGATCTATATATATATTTTTTTAACAGAAGGGAAGTTGAGACGCTGGGAACGCTGGTGCCCTGGACCCCCTGGTTAGTGTCCAGAGAAGGCCCCAGAGCCAGCATCCCTGGTTCTTGCTGTCTCCGCTGCTGCGTGGTGTTGGCAACGAAGCACCCTTCTCCGAGGACCCGATCGGGAGTGCCCTAGTGGACCTGGAGAAGGATTTTTGTGTGGCAAACAACTTGCATTTATTTCTCCCCTCTGTTAATCAGACAGCACCTGCTCAGGTGGGCCCACTGAAACGGGCACCTCCCAATCTCAGGTTAATTGTTTCCTCCAGGCATTTTGGAGTATCTGTGGCCTTCATGAGCCTGGTCGCAGATTACTAAGAGTTAAGGGCTATTGTGGGAGGAGACTCCCTGGCTTTCTCTACCAGACCCCCACTTTGGCCGTGCTTTGCAGGGACCTGCAGCTCCCGGGAGGATGGTGCGGATCTTGGCCAATGGGGAGATCGTTCAGGATGATGACCCCCGAGTGCGGAGCACTGCCTCGCAGAGGGGGAGCACCGCGCGGCAGGTGGGCACTTGTCCCTGGGACAGGGGAGCAGCTGGCCTCCTCTGCCCCAGCTCCTCCACCCCTACCAGCTCCCAGAAGTCTCTTGCTGGTCACGAACCTTCTGTAGCCTGAAACCCTCCGCAGAGAGCCGAGCTGGGTCAAGACATGGGGAAATGCAGTGGGTGTATTGCCAGCCCACCCTCCCAGGCAGCCTCCCCAGACTTCAGACCCAAGAGCTGTATCTCCTTTCACCTGGTTAGCAAGCCCTGCCAGAGCCAGTGTCTTTCTTTAGAGTTTCTCGGGTGGGAGAGAAGCTGGGGAGAATCTAAGAGCTGTGCCTGGGCGGAGTCCACCCAGCTCGGTCACGTCCTCCCCCTCTGTCCTGGCGCCATCTCCCTGGGCATGGTGTGGGGAATACAGACTGGCACTTTCTGTGCTCTGAGAGCCTGTGGCTCAGTGGTTGGGGTTCTGGGGGTGTGTGTCCTGGGGCTGCTGGGAACTGTAGGGGAGGGCCGGGCCCCCAGGCTTCCTCCTGGCTGGTGCCTCAACCCTAGGCAAGAGTTCTCTGCATTCATCCATCTCTCTTGTCTCCACCTTCCAGGGCTTTCTCAACAGGGGCCATGGTGTCCCCCCTGGGGGTCCTGGTCCCCGCCAGCAGCAGGCGGGTGCCAGGCTGGGTGCCGCCCAGTCCCCATTCACTGATCTCAACCGGCAGCTGGTGAACATGGGCTTCCCCCAGTGGCATCTGGGGAACCACGCTGTGGAGCCCGTGACCTCTATCTTGCTGCTCTTCCTGCTTATGATGCTGGGTGTTCGTGGCCTCCTGCTGGTGGGCCTCGTGTACCTAGTGTCCCACCTGAGCCAGCGGTGACGTCCAGGGCCGATGGGGGCAGTGCCGAAAGGAACTTGCTGGGCCTTGGCGTGAGAGCCGGCACATGGGGAGGGTGTCTGGCGGGCTTCGAAGGTGTGGTCAGTGAAGGGGTCCTGGGTGCGGGTCTCCCCATTGTGCAAGCATGGCGCAGAGGGAGGCTCTAGCTCAGCATCCCCAGAAGAGGGGGTGGGCACTGTGGTTGTCTGGAGACATCCTCAGGGGGTATCGGGCCTCTTTTAAGAGGCACAAACCTGGAGTAAGAAAAATTCTCCTTCCAGTTCTCTTTAATCATTTTGTGCTGAGAAGAGGATCACCTTGGTGCCGATGGGTTGTAAATCCTCCGAACTGAAACTGACTCCGCCTTACCAGGGAGTGGGCCTGGGGCTTGGGGCAGATGGGAGAAGTTTCCAGACTTTTATAGCACCGTTTTGTTTTAATGGTGTATTTTTATTGGCTACCTTTTATTTATGACAAAGGGTTCTTGTGTTCTATTTATTGTGGCATTTTCAATAAATAGATTTAAGTAAAAATGAGTCCATGGGAAGGAGTTGGTAAATAATCACACAGGGCACGCAGGTCTGGGAGGCGGTGAAGGTGGTCTGGGAGGCGGGGTAGAGGGCTGGGCAGCAGCAGGCCCTGGGGCTTGGAGCTGGCTCCAGAGATGTTTTCCCAGCAAAATCCAGGAGCGGGAGGGAAGGCAGGCGCAGTCTGGGCAAGGACCCCTTGCCTGATGTTGGGTAACCTCTAGGCTCACTGAGGTGCTGGCCTTAATGGTTAGCTCTGTGGGGAGGAACTCCTGATGACCGAGGGGGCTACAGGGCTGTTCAGCACCCCTCAGCCTCCTGCAGCTCTCCTGAGCCTGGGCACTGCACGCTGCCCTTCGGAGGCTGTGCATGTGGGTGAGGGAGCCCCGATTTTTGTGCAAGAAGGGCCTAGGTTGGGTTGGGCTCCTGAGCCCCAAATCTGTATGGGGTTCCTGCTGGGGAGGTACGGGGGCTTCGGGTCTGGGCTGAGGGTGGTAGGTCAGAATGATGCTGGGTGAGCCCAAGGGTTGTGCCCGCCTTCCCCACATCGGTATGGGCACATCCTTTATCTCAGACGTTTCTGGGGGAGCTTTGTCGTGTCAGGACTCCTTTCTCTGCGCTTTCCATGTCTTTCTCTTGGTGCCAACTGGGACATGTGCTCCCTTTAATGATGGGTGCAGAGAGGAGGGGTTTCCGAGCCCTTGGGGGCCTGGGCAAGGGCAGGGCTGGGCTGTTGGTGCCCCAGCTGTCCCCATGGCATCGTGCTGCCGTGCCTGCCCTCTGCTGTCCTGACCATCTATCCCTGCAGCTCTCGCCACCCACGCTCAAGGAGGACCCTGCCTGGTGCACTGCTGCCTCAGCTGTCCTCGCCTCCGAGGTCCCTCTTGTCTGGGCTTCCCTTTCATTTTCCATTTCTGAGCTGCAGCGCATGCTCAGTGTATGAAATAATGGGTGTGGGGGATGGGAGCCCACAGATTCAGGGCTGAGAACTGCCTGTCTCTCTGGACTTCAGTTCCCAGTCCAAAGCCCACGCTCCTGAGGGGCATTGGGGGCCTCAGAGAAGGTGAGGTGAGCAGGGCTTCCCTGGGCTCCTGATCAGCAAGTGTGGTGGGAGGGGCTGCCCTCGCATCCTCTGAGGCAGGAGGCTGGAAGTGGCCTGTTAGAGATAAAAGGGGGCATTTCTCAGTGTTGACCGAGTTCCAGACCTATGAGGGTGACTGCCTGAGTTGGGTTCGGGGCCCACGCAGGGCCCATCCTCTTGACCCTTTGGGACACCTGCCTCCCCATGTCCCTTGGGGCATGCTGACCCTTGCTCTGCCTCCCTTCTCCGGCTGGGGTCTGAGAGGGCAAGGCCAGCCTGACCCTGACTCAGGCAGAGCGGGGAGTGTGGGTGGCTGTGTCTCCACCTGTGGTCCGAAGGTCCCTCATGAAGCTGTCGCCTGCCCTGGCAGATGGTGCAGTGGTGTCTCCACTTCTGGTGGCTGGGCCTGGTGGGCTCCCTCGTGGGAAGCTTAGGATGAGCTTCTGCTGTATCACAGACTTGGGCTGGGGGTGTATTCTAATCCCCCTAAAGGTGCAGAGTTCGAGGAAGGTTTCTGCTCATCTCCAGAGCTGATCCTCAAAGCCCTGTCTCCATGTCGGGTTGGATTTGCAGCCTGGCCACTAGGGGCGGTTGCCTCTCCTCCCTGCCTGATGACCCAGCAGCTGGGATCCCACCAGGCCTCCAGTGCCCTTGCAGGGCTGGAGAGGACAGCACCCCTTCCTTGCTTGGGCTGGTGGTGATGGGAGTTATGGGGAGCCCTGGCTGATGTCTTCCTCCTAAGCTGTGTGACCAGCAGCCTCTGGGTCCTTCCTGCTACAAGTTCTAAGCAGTCACTCTCGACGCTACCTCTCCACCCTCCAGCGGGCCTTGGAGATGTGGCTGCATCTCCTTCTCCCCCAGAGGACACTAGGCCTGAGGTCAGGTGAGATAGTGACTCTGGTTTTGCCAGGTGTCCAAGGAGCCCTATCCCGGACACCTCGGAGACAAGGGCCAGAGCAGGCCTTTGGGTGTAGGCAGGAGCCAGGTTCCCTAACCGGGAACTGTAGCTCTGGGCATCTGGGGGCCCTCTAGGGTGGTGACCAGAGCCCCTGCCAATGTGGCTGCTTCACCTGGAGGTCAGGGGAGCAAAGTCACCCCCAGGCCATAGCCGCTGGGCGCACAGACAGCCTGGGTACAGGCCCTGCTTTGCTCCTGTGGGCCCACGACCTGGACAGTTCATTTGACTTCTCAAGCCTCAGTTTCCCTGTTGCGAGGAAAGGATGATGATCTGGGCGGCCGACATCTTGGGGCCTTTCACAGGGTCACCCAGACATGGTGGGCAAGAGGTGGACAGAGGCTGTGGAAAGGGGGACTGCACCAGCCCCAGGCCTCTTCCTGCAGGTGCTGTCCCTTGGACCACAGCTTCCACGCTGCAGGCTTCAGCCCCAGGGCAGCCGCACTGTCCCAGGCAGCCGATCACGTCCCAGTCTTGGCATTTGAGACCAATGTCACCTCTCCCTAGCTTTTGGAGATGCAGCAGCCCCTTGGGGGCTGAGGGCCTTGATGCTGTCCCTGGTAGGACTGATGTTTGCGTGTGGGTCCCCTGGCCTGTGCTTACACCACTTGACTGTCCCTAGAGCCTGATGACCTGATTCTGAGGACACTGGTGAGGGTTTAGAACTTGCCCCTGAACCCAGAGTGAGCTGGGGCAGAACTAAGATTCAAGCCAAGGCCCAAAGCCCACCCGCTGGGCGCTCTTCCATTTTGCCTCTGTACCCGCCTCAGAGTCACTGGGAGCCCTGTCACTGACAGAGGTCGCTCAGCTCCTTGACCTGCTGGCACCTGTCAGGCCAGCTCTGGGGGACAGAGCTGGTGGATGTGAGGACTTGGCCAGCCCAGCTGGCTGCATTGCGAAGGGTGCACATCTCCACATTTTCCCAGTGAGAACTGACCGGTGAGCAGAGGAGAATCCAATTACCACACCCAGGGGCCCAGGGGGGCTTTTCGGGGCTGGTGGTAGAGATGGCCAGGGTGGGATGGTGCCCATGGGCTGTGTGGTGAAAGCTAGATGGAGAGCGAGCCGTCCAATGGCTGTGGTGGGGCGGCATGGATACCCCTCCTCCTACTGCTCTAGGGCCTTAACGAGCGCTGAGAGGAAGTTCCAGAAGCAGACGGTGACAGCTGCCCGTCACAGGGAGTCTCAGGCTGTGGGCGTGTGCCCGAGTCTGTGGTGTGGGGGTGGAGGGAGCTGGCACCAGATGGCTCTAGGGCCCCAGAGCTGGAAAGGAAGAAGTTGAAGCTGCCGAGATGAAGCCTGAGATCAACTGCAAAGCAGCTGTCAGGGCGAGGTGGCACAGGACCAGAGCCAGAGAGAGGGCCACGCTCACCCTGCCACCAGCCTCGTCCCTGTGCCATGCAGGGCCAGTGCTGGAAGCCGAGTGGCTGAGTGCAGTCCCTGCTCCGGGTGCTGTGGACCCTGCAGACATCCTGCCGCTGCCCCTCACAGGGCGGGAGGGTCAAGTTCACTAACTCATTGCAAGCAGCATGGTTTCTGGCTCCAGGTCCACGCTTTAGGTTACTGTATTCACAAAGCAGGGGTATTAGCGTCTACTTTTTTAAAACAGCAACTCTCATTTTTCTTAATTTATTTTAAGGAAGCATTGTATCACTATTGTAAAGGGAATGGCACTGTTTTACTTCTCTCTCATTCTTGAGACAAAATACCCAGCACCCAAAGTTAAAGGGGGAAAGGCTTATTTAGCTCACAGTCTATAAACATTTCAGTCCATATCAGCTGGCTCCAAAGCAGGGTGACACATGGCAGAGGGGCAGCAGTTCATGGTGTGATGGATGAGCTACTGGTCAACCCGGAACGCCCAGCTGAACTGAGTCAGCGTGGTGCTAGGTGTGGAAGGCCCACCTGAGGATTGCTGCCAACAGCGTAAAAGTAGAACTTTAGGAAGATGGTGCACTGTTGATTCTCCTGGAGAAGCTTGTTGCGCTGGTTTTCCTGATACGAACTCAGCTGTTATCATCGGAGGAGCTCAGGTCCTCGTTGTCACTGAGGATGGCTGCGGTTCCCTTCAGGGAGCTCTGGTCCTTACCTTGAGCATCACTTCCTGGCCTCAGTGCAGATCCCTCAGCCTGCTGGCACAGATTCTTTATCCTGCTGGTGCAGACTTTCTAGCTTCCACCACTGACCTTTGGGCTTTCCTAGTGCCGATCCTTGCTACAGACTTGCATGAGACATTGTCGTGGGCTCTAGGCCTCCAGCTGGACTCACGGAGGACAAGTCGTGGGATCCAGGCCCTCAGCTGGATTCTTGGGTCTCTAGTGTGTGGACAGATTTCCTGCACTCCGTTGCATTTGGCTGTTTGGGTGAATATTATAAAATAGTTATGTGTCCTGTATTAAATCCTTTCCCTTGTAAGCCCTGACTACAATACGGCAGAAGACAGCAAAAGCAACCAAAGCAAAAAGGGGGAAACAAGCCTCTTTCTGCCCCTTTTATTTTATCCAGGCGCTGGGATTGGGGCTCTGCAAATCCAGTCAGTGGACTGATCCAGCAGTCACCCACTCTGAGTCCCAGCTTTGTACTACAGATCGATCACAGGCTAGATTCAGCTGCCTCCAGAAAAGCCCCATCTAAAAGTGCATGAAGTTTTGGGGGTGGGACATCCAAACACAAACCATAACAGACACCATCACTGAGCACGTACTGCAGGGATTTGTGTAAGAAAGCCCAAGGTAGCCCTCGTCTGGCTGCTGCAGCTGCTCAGGTTTTAGGCGTGATGTCTGCTTCCTTTGTCTAAAAAATCAGTAGACAAAGATTTAAGGGGGCTGTTGAAGACTCACTAGCACTTCAGCGGGACACCTGTGGGTGGATTCGAGGACCCAGGGAAAGAAGGGAGTGAGTGGGTTTCTCTTGTGGGAGCAGGGCTTTCCCTAAGTTGTCTCCCAGTATCTCCTGCTCAGTCTCCCAGAGCCC